ACCGGAAGTGCGTACTAAGCTTGTTGAAGGTAGCGTATTTAATGTCCCTAGAGGACGTAGAATTTTCCGCAGCTGTCGCAATGAAAACTCCTTTTTATTCTATTTAGTACCTTTGAGACGTCGTGAAACTGGAGTTGTAAGCTTCTTAACCCGAAAGCCAGCGAGAAAATGATACATTAGTGGAATAAAATGGTCCTTATTTTATATATACCACCTAGACTAGCAAGTAATTAACACTTTCTCGAGCGACCGACCAAACACAAAACCTAAATTACTTATTTACTGAATGCGACTAAATATAAGTCAGGTGAAATGGCTTTGCATTTTGTATGAAACTATAGATCCCTCACACAGGTGAAGTTTGAAGGTGTGGCTTTGTACTCCTCTTGATAGAAGGATACCGCATTCCAAGCCGCAGATACCTTTACCAAGCACGGCACATAGAATATGTCCTCGAGTACACATACGACACGTAAAGGGTAAAACTTTTCGAAAAGTTGACACCGCCACCACAACAAACCATTAAACAAGTTTTATGTAACCATTAAACTAAATAAAGAGTAAATTTTAACTGAACTGAAAGTAACGTTACTGATTGGGAGCAACCAACATCGCATCTGTAAATAATTTGTTTTTGTGCAACAAAATCACACCAGCTTGATTTCATATTTCTATTTCTATTAATCCCTCTCTCAACTTTGGCATAAAGTTTTGATCTTGCTGATGTAATTTCAAAGTTTCCGTTAAATATTACTTATCCGAAAAGCTTCGTTTTTGCTAACTTAATTTTGGATAAAATTTGTAACAACTTTGAATTTCTTATTACCCTATGTCAACACACAGTAAAACAATTATCTATTAACTATGGTCTCATACCGGCATGTCGATCCATTTTTACTCGACGCCTGTTACAACTGCATGCGACGAAAACGTACCCTCAATCACATCCAACTTTTCAGCTTAGAAGTTTGCGTGACCCGTAAACGTTTATTATATAAAAAAGCAACATTATTCAAAACATTAATAATTTAATGAAATGGCTTAATAGCATGCCACGTTGTTTGCCATGTGATATAAAATTCGTAACATCGTATAAGATTAACATTTCTTCTATATATAATTAAAAATCCATTAAATAAAAACAAAAAAACAGATTTTTCAATGGCCAAGTACGTTTTTGAAATTTCCTTTCTCGAACTAAGTTCGACCAAAGATATCAAGACCATAATTAATACTACAGCATTTACTTCTTCTGTAATGGAATAAGAATATTAAATTATTGATTTACGCATGACGTTACTAGAGAATGCAATCCCGCAGCAAAATCTCCATCCCGGTATTTGCGGGAATGTTAGATGTTAATCCCGCGGGATCCCGGTATTTGCGGGATCTCACAAAACTTTAAATAAATTGGCAAATGAGCAATTCTGTGCGGTTAACTTCTGTATTAAAATAAATCGCTAATTATCACAATATTTAACAAAAAAGTACCTTCGGTCTAACTTAGAACTCAAAAAAACCTTACCTGTAAAGCACAAAAAGTCTTCTAAAGTGCCTCAAAAATCATAGTACATTTTTAACGAAAAAAGTTTAAATTATTTAAAAAATAATTCGCCGTTATCAGTTTCATTAACAAAGTAAACAGAGTCGTCCCCTTGGTCGACAAATTCCTCAGTCCCGCAAATCCCGCTCCATTTATGTGCGGGATTAATCTCGCAAAGATGCTGCGGGAACCCGGTATTTCGTGATCCCGCAATCCCGGTATTGCATTCCCTAGTTTCTAGTCTATAACTTTTGATTGAGAAGTCTGATCGAAAAAGTACGAATTGTTTTGGATTCTACGCACCAAAATTAATAAGAAAAAGTGTTCTCCCGAGAAATTTTGGTGTAGTCGATTTTTGGTAAAAAAGGAAGGTTATACACTGCCTTTTTTTGAGCCCCGAAAAAAAAATTGTCTCAGATCGACCGGAAAAAAAATTTTCTTATAGAATGTGGCCTGTAGAATCCATAATTTCAAACAGTTCCAAGATTGGGCTACTAGTTCAAAAGTTACAGCCCTTTGAATTTTCTTTCGAAATTGGTTTCTAGTCGATAACTTTTGATTGAGAAGTCTGATCGAAAAAGTACGAATTGTTTTGGATTCTACGCACCAAAATTAATAAGAAAAAGTGTTTTCCCGAGAAATTTGGATGCAGCCGATTTTTTGTAAAAAAGGAAGGTTATACACTGCCTTTTTTTGAGCCCCGAAAAAAAATTGTCTCAGATCGACTCGGAAAAAATTTTTCTTATACAATGTGGCCTGTAGACTCCATAATTTCAAACAGTTCCAAGATTGGGCTACTAGTTCAAAAGTTACAGCCCTTTGAATTTTCTTTCGAAATTGTTTTCTAGTCTATAACTTTTGATTGAGAAGTCTGATCGAAAAAGTACGAATTGTTTTGGATTCTACGCACCAAAATTAATAAGAAAAAGTATTTTTCCGAGAAATTTTGGTGCAGTCGATTTTTGGTAAAAAAGGAAGGTTATACACTGCCTTTTTTTGAGCCCCGAAAAAAAAATTGTCTCAGATCGACCCGGAAAAAAAAATTTTCTTATAGAATGTGGCCTGTAGAATCCATAATTTCAAACAGTTCCAAGAGTGGGCTACTAGTTCAAAAGTTACAGCCTTTTGAATTTTCTTTCGAAATTGGTTTCTAGTCTATAACTTTTGATTGAGAAGTCTGATCGAAAAAGTACGAATTGATTTGGATTCTACGCACCCAAATTAATGAGAAAAAGTGTTTTCCCGAGAAATTTTGGTGTAGTCGATTTTTGGTAAAAAAGGAAGGTTATACACTGCCTTTTTTTGAGCCCTGAAAAAAAAATTGTCTCAGATCGACCCGGAAAAAAATTTTTCTTATAGAATGTGGCCTGTAGAATCCATAATTTCAAACAGTTCCAAGATTTGGCTACTAGTTCAAAAGTTACAGCCCTTTGAATTTTTCTTTCGAAATTGGTTTCTAGTCTATAACTTTTGATTGAGAAGTCTAATCGAAAAAGTACGAATTGTTTTGGATTCTACGCCCCAAAATTAATAAGAAAAAGTGTTTTCCCGAGAAATTTTGGTGTAGTCGATTTTTGGTAAAAAAGGAAGGTTATACACTGCCTTTTTTTGAGCCCCGAAAAAAAAATTGTCTCAGATCGACCCGGAAAAAAAATTTTCTTATAGAATGTGACCTGTAGAATTTCAAACAGTTCCAAGATTGGGCTACTAGTTCAAAAGTTACAGCCCTTTGAATTTTTTTCGAAATTGGTTTCTAGTCTATAACTTTTGATTGAGAAGTCTGATCGAAAAAGTACGAATTGTTTTGGATTCTACGCACCAAAATTAATAAGAAAAAGTGTTTTCCCGAGAAATTTTGGTGCAGTCGATTTTTGGTAAAAAAGGAAGGTTATACACTGCCTTTTTTGAGGCACGAAAAAAAAATTGTCTCAGATCGACCGGGGAAAAAGATTTTCTTATAGAATGTGGCCTGTAGAATCCATAATTTCAAACAGTTCCAAGATTGGGCTACTAGTTCAAAAGTTACAGCCCTTTGAATTTTCCTTCGAAATTGGTTTCTAGTCTATAACTTTTGATTGAGAAGTCTGATCGAAAAAGTACGAATTGTTTTGGATTCTACGCACCAAAATTAATGAGAAAAAGTGTTTTCCCGAGAAATTTTGGTGCAGTCGATTTTTGGTAAAAAAGGAAGGTTATACACTGCCTTTTTTTGAGGCCCGAAAAAAAAATTGGTCTCAGATCGACCCGGAAAAAAAATTTTCTTATAGAATGTGGCCTGTAGAATCCATAATTTCAAACAGTTCCAAGATTGGGCTACTAGTTAAAAAGTTACAGCCCTTTGAATTTTCTTTCGAAATTGGTTTCTAGTCTATAAATTTTGATTGAGAAGTCTAATCGAAGAAGTACGAATTGTTTTGGATTCTACGCACCAAAATTAATAAGAAAAAGTGTTTTCCCGAGAAATTTTGGTGTAGTCGATTTTTGGTAAAAAAGGAAGGTTATACACTGCCTTTTTTTGAGCCCCGAAAAAAAAATTGTCTCAGATCGACCCGGAAAAAAAATTTCTTATAGAATGTGGCCTGTAGAATCCATAATTTCAAACAGTTCCAAGATTGGGCTACTAGTTCAAAAGTTACAGCCCTTTGAATTTTTTTCGAAATTGGTTTCTAGTCTATAACTTTTGATTGAGAAGTCTGATCGAAAAAGTACGAATTGTTTTGGATTCTACGCACCAAAATTAATAAGAAAAAGTGTTTTCCCGAGAAATTTTGGTGCAGTCGATTTTTGGTAAAAAAAGGAAGGTTAAGTATTCAAATACTATGCGAAGTATTCGAATACTTTACGAAGTATCCAAATACTTTGCGAAGTATTCGAATACTAAATATTTGTGAAAGTATTTCAGTTACAAATACAAATACTGCTTCCATAAAAGTATTTAATTACAAAGTATTTGAATACTTTAAAGGATTTGAATACTAAAAAGTATTTACAAAATCGAATACTGCCCAGCTCTGTAAGTAGGTACTAGATTTATAGGGCAATCTGTCATTTTAGTAAAAATGCTCTCTTGCTGAAAAAGACACTCAAAAAAAGTAATGGAGTACCCGGGTTAAAATAAGATTATGGCCTTTGGGATTGCGACTCAAATAAACAAAAAATGAAAAAAAGAGTAACTTTAGTGCATTTTCCATGAATTTATCAATAATACCCGAAAGGTCATGTAACGAACTATTTATGCGTTGGTACAAAAGAATATTTTTATAGATAACAAACTTGGTATTGCGCACATCTGATTTTTACAATATGCGATATGCTTGCCTTTATACTAAAGCATCTGTGGTTAACATTAAAAAAAAATATCTAAGAAAGTTGACATTGCGCATAGGCACATTAATCGTCAAGATTTTTGTTCGTTGAGGTGCGACAGCTATAAGCTAATTGCTAATTGCGCTACAAATTATATTTCTAAAAAATCACATTGTTCATCCACCTTAAATTTAACTGCTTCCAAATTTATCAAGGTACATACAACAAATCATATCAATAACCTACCTCCCCCTAAAAACAAAGTTGGTACATTGCAGTTCAAAACATCCTTGATACACTCCCCCATATCTTTCGTCGTAATATTAATTTGCCCAACAGGATCCCCATTAATGCAGTCTGCACCACACTGTACAACCAAGGCCGAAGGTTTAAAAGCTCGGAAAACTCTAAAATTGCAAATGCAATATTATTGTATAATCGAAACCCAAAGGCACATACCTCGGAAAGATCTCTTTAAAACACCTCAAATACGTTTTCCCACTACAACCGTCGCGTAATGGAACATTCAGGGAGAAATATTCCCCTCGCCGACTCCCGACTTCGTCAACATTACCGCCGCCCGGATAAAATCCAGGGCTGTACTTGTGGAAAGACAGAGTTAAAATTTTCGGGCTCAATTCGAACGCATTCTGTACTCCGTTCCCTGAAAAGTGAAAAACAAATTTTTGAACGTCTCAGCAATTACTCACAAAAAAATTAGTTACCGTGATGGACGTCTAGATCAACATACAATATCTTGGTAAAGCTTCTCGTTAGAGTCTGAATGGCGATCACAATGTCGTTTACGTAACAAAATCCTTCGGCTTCGTCTCTGAAATGAGCATGAATTAAAAAAAATGTTTACTAAGGCATCAAAGGGGGTACATTTAGATCTTATTGTGTACTTATTAAGTACCCAAAAGACTTTGGCATACAATGCACCCAGAAGCTTTCTAGTGGTTTCTCTCTAGTAGACCGCACTAGACAGTTTTGCAGATTTTTATAGTGCTTTCCAGAGCCTCCTAAATATCTTTGGTGGACTCATTGGATTATGATACTTTATGCCCTTTCCAGAGTTAGGTGAACCTCAGAAACTTTGGAATGGACATAAAGCTCTGAGAACTAGAAGAAAGAAGGCCCTAAAATGTACTAGAGAGGATCTGTATTTGAATATTAAAGGATAAAAAGATCTATGCTGTGTGTCCCCTCTCAGCCTTCGTGGAAATTGGACTGAGAAAAAACCTTTGGGCGTGATGCCAGCCGCCGAACCAGTTAATTGCAAAATCGCACTTGCGCTCCGCCAGTAAATTTGCAGCAGTTATCGAACCACCGGCTAATGCTTGCACTAATGTGTAAAGTCGAGGGAGCAAGGGACAGTCGTAACTTAAACCGAACTCGTCTTCCTCTCCATCTTCGAAGCCAACATCGTCCTCTTTGTACGCTTTCATAAAATCCAAGTACGCACTCGAATGGAATAATCTAAGCTCATCGTATGTGGCCGGAACGCTTGGGACTACCGTTACGTTACCAGATTTGAGCAGTTCGTACGAGTTAACTAAGTCGGTTACGATGGAAGCCTAAAATTTTAAGAAATGTTTGCGTAGTTTTTTAGTGGAGGGTGCTTACTCGTCCAGGAACTGTTGGCAGGCGATCGCATTCGTCGCGTAAAGTAGAATCGTAAATGTAAATTACCTTCTTTTCCATTCCAACTTTAATTAACCTAAAAAAGTTTGCCGGCAATTTTTAAATTTAAAAATGTGTGGTTATGTGCATACATATACAGGATGATCTATACTACTCGTTCTTCTGTACATACACAGTGCGAAACTGACTGGCGCATCAGATTCTGATGCATGCCTAAACTTGAGCTCCAGTATACGGAAGTCGGGAGGTAGCCATGGAAATGGTACTTTCGCGTGCGCCCTGGTGGATAAAAGAAATATTTCGACAGCCCTTGTTTTGATTGTGGTACATTCTTTTCCCGCGTATTCACACCATACAAATATAAAAGCATATTTATTCAATGAGAATGAAGCAATTCTTCACGGACCACTAAAATTTTCACGCGGCCCACCAGTTGGCGACCGCTGGTCTAGGAGATATGTGCATTGCCTCTTTGACTTTTTCTTAGAAAGTGGATAATGCTATTGCTAGAATAGGTATACCACCATGGAATTTCCCAAACGTGGCGGGGCAATTGATTTCTGACACTAATATTTAATATGAAACTTCATAATTTCATTTCTTGGTTCAAACTCGGTGCGCTTTTTTACCCGCAACATGACATTTTATTCGATATCCTGCTCCTGCATCTGAATTAAGTATGTTTACACAGTATCTGCAATCGATAGAAGATAAGTATGTAGAAAACCTGAAACCATACGAACAGTGCTGCATTTTATGGTTGGTATAATGCAGTCGAGTGTAGATGATTGTTTGCGTAATGAGTATACCAATTAAAATTCAGCACTGTTCCTATGTTTTCCTACATACTTAGTCTGTTGTATCGATTGCAGAGGTACTATGTAAACATACGAACATATCTAGTTTAGAATGATGTCAATACTCGATGACGTGCGTGCAAACTTAGGAAAATCCTACTCTACTTATTTATTTTTTTATTTATTATCACTCTCTTGTTCTGGGCCCTCAACAGACTTGCGCCCAATTACAGAGTGACCTGCATAATGCTTTTTAGAGGTGCCTCTGCAGAAGGTACTTTTATGCCACGTATGATTTTTAAGCTATTTTTTAGCTATCAATTGGCAAAAACAGATATAATAATTAAGAACATATGCATATGCACATCCTGATTTAGGCTTTGTTGCTACGTGTAATTTGTAGCACATTATAATGTCCTAAATTTTAAGGGAATGAAGGCTAGATGTGTCGACTTGGCTCCCTCCAACAAAATTTCAAAAAGGCAACTTTAGTTGTAACCTCTACAAGTAAACATTAAATTTTTACTCGTAGGATGCAACATATTCCAAACTTTTTTCAGCAGCAACAAATAGGACTAATTAAAATAATTTTTTTGTATATGTTCACTGAACGTGTCTGTTCGTTTGATCTATAAGCAAATTGAGTTGTGTTTAATAGAAGTTCCAAAATCGATGCCGAAGTGATAAATAGTGAAATTCGCGCTCGTGTTATAAATGTACATGTATGTTATAAATTTGAGTACAAATACAAGTAAGGGATAAATAATAATAACTTGTATTGGTTAATCAATCTATTTAATGGCAAAGTTTACACACTGACTTTTTTGCCATACGTCAAATAGTTACGGGCAGTTTAACCCTATCCATCTTACATAAACTTACTGTTTCATCGTTAATACTAACCAGTATACCACCATTATATAGTGATACATATGTCATGTCTATGATATAACCACTAGGTACTTAATCTTAAAAATCTAAGCAAAGTTTTGAACAGCAATACTTTAATACCAAATTTTGAGAGCAACATTACCCTCTCACAAAGCGCAACGTGTCTACTGTACCGAACAAGAGAGGGAGAATTGAAAAATACCGGGTTTTTGGCACTATAAATAATGGTACCAGTGTATCGATTCCCGGTTGTCATCACTTCTTAAATAACGGTTCCGGTTCAAAGTGAGCGACTCTTAAGCTCGATTTTCA